ACCCCAAAAAGGAAACCTAAGATCCCTTGAACCTCGGACCTGGCAATCTTTTGCGAGCTCGCAAGGCGCTTCTGCCAGAGACGCGCGGCACCTGCGAAGAAGGGGTCTCCTGTTAGGGTTTAGGGTTTAGGGTTTAGGGTTTAGGGTTTAGGGTTTAGGGTTTAGGGTCTGATGCTTAGTTCCCCGATAAGAAAACCTTTAAACGTTTTTGGGTTCTTATATATAGTTTAGAAGTAATCTGACAGTTTAACCTTTTGTTTCCCTCTATTGGGGAAGTAAGGATGATAGAACCTTGACTGGAACCGTTTGTAGATCCCTTAAAAAACCCTAAACTCTAAACCCTAAAAACCCTAAACCCTAAACCCTCAAAGAAACCGTAAAAGGCTCCCTTGCATGGTAAAAAGACCCTCAAAAAGGGGCTCTGTTGCAGGGATCCAAGCTGCAGGGGTTCCTTTAAGGGTTTAGTGTTTAGGGTTTGGGGTTTGGGGTTTAGGGTTTAGGGTTTAGGGTTTAGCGTTCAGGGCTTCGGGGGGTTCTTCTATTATAGGGGCCGTTTCTTTCTGGGAGGCGGAAGGTCCAGTGGACGTGCCTATTGTAGCGCAAGAAGCCAGTGGGAGAAAGGCTCGGTGGGAGGCCTCGACAGGGAGGCTAAGGTGTACCGGGATACCAGCCGAAGCATGCTACATGAAGACCCGAAACCGGGAAGACCCAGTCGACCCATTGACGCAAACTGCGCACATAGACCGGGCACGCAGCTCTGATTCAAGGTCGCCGAGAGAGAGCTCGGCCGGTGGCAGGGAGTCAAGGCACCAGCAGCGGCAATCCAGCCTGCCGCTCCAACAAACCGGCAAAAGGGCAGGTGGTCTAACGGCGCAAGGCCAGGAAAGATCGGGGCTGTATCGGGCGTAAGGGCGCCGCAGCACCGGCCGCAGCACCAACAGGACGTCGTCACAGGCAGCAAGAAGGAGCGGATCCGACATCCCAGAGCGCCATTCTGCCAAGATCTGCCTTAGAGCTTCCTTTAAAGGGGTTACTGTAAGGGCTACTATAAGGGTTTAGGGTATAGGGTTTAGGGTTTAGGGTTTAGGGAGCAACCTGTTCAACAGCCAGGTCGAAGATTTGTTGATCTGTTGCAGCACTGACTTGTTGCAGAGCTTGGGTGAGCTCGCGACAAACCTCCGGTCGAGCAACCGTCTCGGGGCCGTGTTCGGCTGGGGCCTGGCATGGGCGGCAGAGTCGTCGGGGTCGTAGAGGACCGCATCGCCTGGTTGCTCAAGTGCCTGCAGGCAGACCCGGTTATGCTTCAGATTTCCCTCTTGAGCCAAGTCATTGGCGGGGTTGTGATAGTTGTGCGCCCGGTGGGCATGCGCTCCCCAGGCCTGACGCGTGTGAGAGGAAATTTATTAGGGTTTAGGGTTTAGGGTTTAGGGTTTAGGAATCCCTAAACCCTAAACCCTAAACCCTAAACCCTAAACCCTAAACCCTAAACCCTAAACCCTAAACAAATATGCGTGCACACCTCCTCAAGCCCAGGGGCAGTGGAAGGAAGCGTTGGGGGCCAAACCAAGCCACTGAAGGTCTCGCGAGCGGCTCGCAAACGACCCAGCTCAGCACGACTTCTGGGGCCTTAAAATTGGAATAGGGGTTTGGGGCCCATTACACTATAATTATAACAAGGAACCCCACAAGCAATATCGGCAATTATTTAAGCCCCTTCAGTTCTTTATCTGCGCAGCTTTGAATAGGATTTCGGGGCCCATTATACTATAATGACTCCCCAAAATACTATAGGCAATTATTTAAGCCCCTACATGACAAACCCTACACCCGAAACCCTAAAACCTTAACCCTAAACCCTAAAACTTTGACCCTAAGCGACCCCGTTCCCTTCACGGAATCAAAAACCCTAAACCCTAAACCCTAAACCCTAAACCCAAAACGGTTCCTTTCCCTTTCAGGAGGCTCCCAGGCTTCAGAGGCCTAGAGGCTAAGGGACTTAGGGGCTACGGGTTCCTTTTGGGGTTTGGGGTTTAGGGTTTAGGGTTTAGAGGACTAAGGTTCCTTTTGGGGTTTAGGGTTTAGAGGACTAGGGTTCCTTTTGGGGTTTAGGGTTTAGAGGACTAGGGTTCCTTTTGGGGTTTAGGGTTTAGAGGACTAGATTTCCTTTTGGGGTTCAGGGTTTAGAGGACTAGGGTTCCTTTTGGGGTTTAGGGTTTAGAGGACCAAGGTTCCTTTTGGGGTTTAGGGTTTAGGGCACTAGGGTTCCTTTTGGGGTTTGGGGCTCAGGGGCCTCTTTCTACCAGGGTTCCTTCTCCAAAACCCCTTCAATTCAGGGGCTCACGGCTTAGGGTTTCCTAAACCGTAAATCCTAAACCTCAAAAGGAACCCTAATCCCCTAAACCCTAAACCCCAAAACGAACCGTTTACGGTAGATTACAGATCTCCCTTAATTAAATGGTTTTGGGTCGGTGGGCTTTCAAGTGTCCCTTTCAGTGAACCCTGATAGAACCCTTATAAAACCCTCAAAAAGAGCTTCCGGGATGAGGCTTTGGAGAGCAGGCGCTGGTAGCATTTCTATAGGTATTTGTAGAAAGCTTACAGTATATTTATGGTGATATAAAGTTTTGTATAGTATGTTCGACATACATAGATATATATATATATACATATTACAGCCTATCATACTTTAGTGCAACGGCTTAGGATGGATGGTTTCGGGAGTGAGTGCTTTCCAGTTCACGAGCAATAAACTGCAAGCCCAACACCTCTGCTATCCTAACAGTCCAAGTCAATGCTACTTACTTTGGGGGCGAAGGCTTGATCTAAAACCCATGTTGGGTTGTTTGGATTGTTTACGGATCGAGCCACCAAGACTATACTAAGCTAGGAATTCTTGCAGCCAAAAACTGTTAATTGTATGCTGTTTCCCTAAACCCTAAACCCCAAACTCTAACCCCTAAGCCCTAAACCCTAAACCCCAAACCCTAAGCCCCAAACTCTAACCCCTACACCCTAAACCCTAAACCCCAAACCCTAAACCCTAAACTCCAACCCCTACACCCTAAACCCTAAACCCCAAACCCTAAACCCCAAACTCTAACCCCTACACCCTAAACCCCAAACTCTAACCCCTACACCCTAAACCCTAAACCCAAAACCCTAAACCCCAAACTCTAACCCCTAAACCCTAAACCCCAAACCCCAAACTCAAACCCCTACACCCTGAACCCTAAACCCCAAACCCTAAACCCTAAACTCCAAACCCTACACCCTAAACCCTAAACCCCAAACCCTAAACCCCAAACTCAAACCCCTAAATCCTGAACCCTAAACCCCAAACCCTAAACCCCAAACTCAAACCCCTACACCCTAAACCCTAAACCCCAAACCCTAAACCCCAAACTCGAACCCCTAAACCCTAAACCCTAAACCCCAAACCCTAAACCCTACACCCCA